TGCTGGTGCAGTTTTACTTGGTAAAACAGAATAATATAAGTATTATAAATGTCTTCTTTGGAGAAAAATAAGACTTCAAATTTCAATATTAGCATGTATACTACAATTGTGGTAGGCTATTGAGTTTTACTAATATTATTTACCTTGAATGGCATCCACTTCTTAAACCATATGCCTCTGGAAATGATGAACTTTGGGAAATAACGATAGTTCTAGAAAGGCTTCAGGCCTTTTTTGTTCAAAGGGTCACTATGAGTCATGATCAACTGGACGGCAATCAATAACAAAACAATCTATGTGAACAAATTATAAAGTTAATGATGTAAACTATATGAGAACACCGTTGTGTGTGTGCTTACTAAATAAGTAGCAACTAATAATTAATACTATTTTAGTTTTAGTCTTCTCTTGAGGGCATTCTGTGTGCTAAATGCCTATCCTACAAGAGTTTTGAAAGTATACTGAGATCATCACCTAGACTGCTAGATTTCAAACCCGGGCCTTTCAGACTTTAACACCCCTTTTCTGTCAGCTATACCACCTTGCCTTGGATTGCTGTCATCTTTCTCTTCAGCAGCAAAATTAACAAGCAATGCACTGAAAGTCACTGTTCTTTTCAGGCCTTCAAAGTAGTTTATTATTTGACAATGATCTAAAAATATCTTACTTTTTCTTTCTTTAAAAGTTTTTTACTTAATGTTCCTAAGTAGCCTATATTTTTAGCCTATAAACCTAATTTCTACACTATGGAAAAAAGTTGTCATGTAACTATAAACAGAATCTGTATTAGTTTTTGTTAAATGTAAAGCAAAAAAGGTTGCTCAGTCTGTATTTTTTTTTTTAAAGTTTAAGTTTGTGTTTCAATCCCTGAATCGTTTTTAGGGCTTTCAGTCTTAATTTTTAGAGAAATAAATAGTGTAGTCTGAATTAAGAGAACTTTAGGAAACCTAGAAGAGATGAAGCCCCCAGACGAGGTGCATTGTCAGGGTAACTGAGGTGATGGGGTGTGTCAGAGACACTGAAACTAGCTCAGGACAGGGCAGGCTTCACAGCTATTGTACATCCGGTCTCTATGTCACTGTCAGCTTGATGGCACATAACAACAATGCCGTACCGTAGTCCAAGCCCCTTAAAAAATTCAAATCATTCCTGCCGTCCTCCAGTCAGTTCTGATTCATAAGTCATCTCCTGTCAGGCTTCAAGGACTATAAATCTTTTTCTCCATGGAGCAACTGGTGTATTCAAACTGTTGACACTCCCCCATCCCCCAACCCCTCAGACTTCATTTGTTTAAATTCTTTTAAATACTACAAAGGTTTTGTGTTTGGAGGGGTTTTTTTTATTATTCATTCACTGTTGCACATTTTCTTCCTTTCCCCTCTCAAAACCCTCCCCCAGTCCACCTTGCAGGGCACCTCTTAATGACTTTTTAGTTAGCAGCAGAACTCTAAAGTTAGAGGACTAATTTCCTGATCCATACAGTTGAATTGATCTGGCTATATTCCATATATGACTATGCAATGGCATTTGACTGTGTAGATCATAACAAACTATGGCTGGCTCTGAGAAGAATGGGAATCCCAGAACACTTGATCATTCTAATGCGAAACTTATACTTGGACCAGGAAGCAGTCATCAGAACAGAGCAAGGGAACACTGCATGGTTCAAAATTGGGAAGGGCGTACG